CTAATCCAGACTTTCTCATTGCCTTTTTGACAGCAACTGATTTACTACATAAACTCTGATGATGATGTCTCTGGCACTCTTCTCAGCCTTTTCCACGTTAATCTCTAGCTACCCTCTACCTCTGCACTGCAACACTTAACCTAATAATCATCCCTTTCCATCTTACTACCCATTACCCCTGCATCCTTCCCTGCTCTGCTGCGGTTTAACCCTTGTGGTTTAGCGCTTCTTTCTGATTATAATAATCTATCCGTCTTTGCAGCTGTTGGCAACAACAGTGGTTGAACATGCACCATAAAAAATTGCACTCCATTAAACTGCTTTTAGGTTTGTGGCCATCTTACCACCGTTGCTGTTCCTGGGAGACTGCGCTCTCCCAGGAACACCTGACCCATGGAACAATACCCTGTTCCTCTCTCAGGTTTGTTGGGTCCCTATTTTGGTTCTTCTTTACCTCCGACACCGTTGCCCTACCACTCTTCTATTCTTGCAGACAGCCTTTGACTTGGTCAGCAACTGCTTTATATACAAACTTTGACACACAGCACTTAGTATCCCTTTCAGCCCTTTTTCTACCCTTTTTCTCCAGGTGCATGTATGCACCTGGAGAAGAGAGAAGTGTAGAGAGAGAGAGATTTTGGGAAATGTTGAGTGAATGCGTGGGGAGTTTTGAATCAAGTGTGAGAGTAATGGTGGTTGGGGATTTCAATGCTAAAGTGGGTAAAAATGTTATGGAGGGAGTAGTAGGTAAATTTGGGGTGCCAGGGGTAAATGTAAATGGGGAGCCTTTAATTGAGCTATGTGTAGAAAGAGATTTGGTAATAAGGCGTGGAGTTAAAAGATAAAGAATCACACACAGGGTGGGAGTTGTCACAGCTGCTCTTTGCTGATGACACTGTGCTCTTGGGAGATTCTGAAGAGAAGCTGCAGAGATTGGTGGATGAATTTGGTAGGGTGTGCAAAAGAAGAAAATTAAAGGTGAATACAGGAAAGAGTAAGGTTATGAGGATAACAAAAAGATTAGGTGATGAAAGATTGAATATCAGATTGGAGGAGAGAGTATGGAGGAGGTGAACGTATTCAGATATTTGGGAGTGGACGTGTCAGCGGATGGGTCTATGAAAGATGAGGTGAATCATAGAATTGATGAGGGAAAAAGAGTGAGTGGTGCACTTAGGAGTCTGTGGAGACAGAGAACTTTGTCCTTGGAGGCAAAGAGGGGAATGTATGAGAGTATAGTTTTACCAACGCTCTTATATGGGTGTGAAGCATGGGTGATGAATGTTGCAGCGAGGAGAAGGCTGGAGGCAGTGGAGATGTCATGTCTGAGGGCAATGTGTGGTGTGAATATAATGCAGAGAATTCGTAGTTTGGAAGTTAGGAGGAGGTGCGGGATTACCAAAACTGTTGTCCAGAGGGCTGAGGAAGGGTTGTTGAGGTGGTTCGGACATGTAGAGAGAATGGAGCGAAACAGAATAACTTCAAGAGTGTATCAGTCTGTAGTGGAAGGAAGGCGGGGTAGGGGTCGGCCTAGGAAGGGTTGGGGGAGGGGGTAAAGGAGGTTTTGTGTGCGAGGGGCTTGGACTTCCAGCAGGCATGCGTGAGCGTGTTTGATAGGAGTGAATGGAGACAAATGGTTTTTAATACTTGACGTGCTGTTGGAGTGTGAGCAAAGTAACATTTATGAAGGGATTCAGGGAAACCGGCAGGCCGGACTTGAGTCCTGGAGATGGGCAGTACAGTGCCTGCACTCTGAAGGAGGGGTGTTAATGTTGCAGTTTAAAAACTGTAGTGTAAAGCACCCTTCTGGCAAGACAGTGATGGAGTGAATGATGGTGAAAGTTTTTCTTTTTCGGGCCACCCTGCCTTGGTGGGAATCGGCCAGTGTGATAATAAAAAAAAAAAAAAATATTTTATGAAAAAGAAGATAAATATACAAGGTATGATGTAGCACGTAATGAAAGTAGTTTATTAGATTATGTATTGGTGGATAAAAGGTTGATGGGTAGACTCCAGGATGTACATGTTTATAGAGGGGCAACTGATATATCGGATCATTATTTAGTTGTAGCTACAGTTAGAGTAAGAGGTAGATGGGAAAAGTGGAAGGTGGAAACAACAAGTAAGAGGGAGGTGAAAGTGTATAAACTAAGGGAGGAGGAAGTTCGGGCGAGATATAAGCGACTATTGGCAGAAAGGTGGGCTAGTGCAAAGATGAGTAGTGGGGGGGTTGAAGAGGGTTGGAATAGTTTTAAAAATGCAGTATTAGAATGTGGGGCAGAAGTTTGTGGTTATAGGAGGGTGGGGGCAGGTGGAAAGAGGAGTGATTGGTGGAATGATGAAGTAAAGGGTGTGATAAAAGAGAAAAAGGTAGCTTATGAGAGGTTTTTACAAAGCAGAAGTGTTATAAGAAGAGCAGAGTATATGGAGAGTAAAAGAAAGGTAAAGAGAGTGTTGAGAGAGTGCAAAAGGAGAGCAGATGATAGAGTGGGAGAGGCACTGTCAAGAAATTTTAATGAAAATAAGAAAAAATTTTGGAGTAAGTTAAACAAGAAAGCCTAGGGAAAGTATGGATTTGGCAGTTAAAAACAGAGTAGGGGAGTTAGTAGATGGGGAGATGGAGGTACGTATTAGGTAGATGGCGAGAATATTTTGAGGAACTTTAAATGTTAAGGAAGAGAGGCAGTAATTTCATGCACTGGTCAGGGAGGTATACCATCTTTTAGGAGTGAAGAAGAGCAGAATGTAAGTGTGGGGGAGGTACGTGAGGCATTACGTAGAATGAAAGGGGGTAAAGCAGCTGGAACTGATGGCATCATGACAGAAATGTTAAAAGCAGGGGGGGATATAGTGTTGGAGTGGTTGGTACTTTTGTTTAATAAATGTATGAAAGAGGGGAAGGTACCTAGGGATTGGCAGAGAGCATGTATAGTCCCTTTATATAAAGGGAAAGGGGACAAAAGAGACTGTAAAAATTGTAGAGGAATAAGTTTACTGAGTATACCAGGAAAAGTGTACGGTAGGGTTATAATTGAAAGAATTAGAGGTAAGACAGAATGTAGGATTGCGGATGAGCAAGGAGGTTTCAGAGTGGGTAGGGGATGTGTAGATCAAGTGTTTACATTGAAGCATATATGTGAACAGTATTTAGATTAAGGTAGGGAAGTTTTTATTGCATTTATGGATTTAGAAAAGGCATATGATAGAGTGGGTAGAGGAGCAATATGGCAGATGTTGCAAGTATATGGAATAGGTGGTAAGTTATTAAATGCTGTAAAGAGTTCTTATGAGGATAGTGAGGCTCAGGTTAGGGTGTGTAGAAGAGAGGGAGATTACTTCCCAGTAAAAGTAGGTCTTAGACAGGGATGTATGTCACCATGGTTGTTTAATATATTTATAGATGGGGTTGTAAAGGAAGTAAATGCTAGGGTGTTCGGGAGAGGGGTGGGATTAAATTCAAAATGCGAATTGACACAGTTACTTTTTGCTGATGATACTATGCTTATGGGAGATTCTAAAGAAAAATTGCAAAGGTTAGTGGATGAGTTTGGGAATGTGTGTAAAGGTAGAAAGTTGAAAGTGAACATAGAAAAGAGTAAGGTGGTGAGGGTATCAAATGATTTAGATAAAAAAAAATTGGATATCAAATTGGGGAGGAGTATGGAAGAAGTGAATGTTTTTAGATACTTGGGAGTTGACGTGTCGGTGGATGGATTTATGAAGGATGAGATTAATCATAGAATTGATGAGGGAAAAAAGGTGAGTGGTGCGTTGAGGTATATGTGGAGTCAAAAAACGTCATCTATGGAGGCAAAGAAGGTAATGTATGAAAGTATAGTAGTACCAACACTCTTATATGGGTGTGAAGCTTGGGTGGTAAATGCAGCAGCGAGGAGACGGTTGGAGGCAGTGGAGATGTCCTGTTTAAGGGCAATGTGTGGTTTAAATATTATGCAGAAAATTCGGAGTGTGGAAATTAGGAAAAGGTGTGGAGTTAATAAAAGTATTAGTCAGAGGGCAGAAGAGGGGTTGTTTGGTCATTTAGAGAGAATGGATCAAAGTAGAATGACATGGAAAGCACATAAATCTATAGGGGAAGGAAGGCGGGGTAGGGGTAGTCCTCGAAAGGGTTGGAGAGGGGGTAAAGGAGGTTTTGTGGGCAAGGGGCTTGGACTTCCAGCAAGCGTGCGTGAGCGTGTTAGGAGTGAATGGTACTTGGGACCTGACGATCTGATCTGTTGGAGTGTGAGCAGGGTAATATTTAGTGAAGGGATTCAGGGAAACCAGTTATTTTCATATAGTCGGACTTGAGTCCTGGACATGGGAAGTACAATGCCTGCACTTTAAAGGAGGGGTTTGGGATATTGGCAGTTTGGAGGGATATGTTGTGTATCTTTTTATGTGTATGCTTCTAAACTGTTGTATTCTGAGCACCTCTGCAAAAAAGTGATAATGTGTGAGTGTGGTGAAAGTGTTGAATGATGATGAAAGTATTTTCTTTTTGGGGATTTTCTTTCTTTTTTGGGTCACCCTGCCTCGGTGGGAGACGGCCGACTTGTTGGGAGAAAAAAAAAAAAAAAAAACCCTCTGGTCCTCTATCCACCTAGCTGTTTATAGCTCTGGCACTATTTTCTGCCCCCACAGCACTGCATGACACTTGTCAGTTTAATGCTTTATTATTTGAGTATAATAATAATACACGCTGAAGCAGGGGTGTTGAAGTCAAGAGGGTAATTTGAATTATGTCAATACACTTCTGGCAAGACAGCAAGTGAATAAATGATGGTGAATGCATTTTGGGGGGGAGAGGGTAATCACCCTGTCTTCATCTGAACAATTTTTATTTGTATTATGACTACCTTTAGTATAACCATTTTATGTTCGTCCTATGACCATTACAATTCCCCTGTATAGCTCTGTATGACTTTCATAGGTTCATTGCATTTTCTTAAATATACATGTAATATAGGTATACTTCTAAAGTTTCCTTCACAACACAGGTAATCTTCCCTAATGTAGAAGTGGAGGATGCACACAGTGGCAGCACAAAAAAACTCAAACCAGGAGACTATGTATGTGTGTTGATTACAGATTCATCTGCTCAAGTTCTGAAAGGAATTCCTCTTGCCATTACCACGCTTCAGGCTCACTCGAAGCAGCACAAGAATTCCTTGCAAATTCCTTAACTATTTGGTAAAATGTGTTATACACAAGGATTATAAGTACAACAGAGTAATCTTAGCACATTGTCTTTTGAAATGCAGTGTAAGAGTAATAAAACATGAAAAAAGAGAATTTTTATTATTAATTCCACATTAACAACTAATGACCATTTATATGTAATGTTTCTTCCTCATTACTGTCATTATGTGAAACCTTTAATCAGAATTAATCAAATAACTATTGCTGATTTTTTTTTTTAACTAAAGTTTAATAATACCCTTCATAAATAAAAGCAGCTTGGACCTGGATCTACTGCATTCAACAATGGCATTACCAAAGGTTCATTCAACCTTGATGCCACTCTAAAGAGTACTGCAAAAGGTAAAAGATTTTATATTTAATTTTTTTTCTAAATTTACTCTAAATGCAAATCTTCACATAACACGAAACCATAAAAAATTCAAACTTGCTGATGTGGGTATTAAGAGTGCATATTCCTTGATTAAACACTCTGCCCTCTACACTATATATATAAGCAAATAAAAGGAAAAATGCATTCCCTAAGAAAAAAAAAAAGAATAATGAAAGACATTCCTTGTATGATCTATTTTTCTTTTGGTAAAAACTGATGTCCCACTTAAAGCCATGATGCTTAACAATTTACTACATATCAGTTTGCTGTAGCTAGAGTAGAGTATATACAATGATTTAATATCTTTACCATTAAAATCTAAACCATCTTATCACATGGCTACAACAAAAATTGAGAACAAGACTTGTCCAGAGCTTAATATTTTCTTTGTCAGGGAGAAATACCTGCCATTTAAATTTAAATAAGTATCAAGCCTGGGCATTATTACTAATGCTTTTACAAATAATGCACAGAATTATAAAATACGTACAGTACAATAAACATCCATTCTTCGAGTCATAATTTTCTTTAATTTACTGGATTAGTAATTTACAAAGTGACTTTTCAATATATCACTTGCTCTGTCAGCTTAGTAATTAAGATTTCATATCACTTATTTTTAAAAATGACAGCAGTGCATGACTACAGTGTGATAATTCACCAATACATAAAGTGTTTTTTCCATTTGTCTACATCTGTTAAACATTCTGGGTAAAAAATATTTTGGAAGTGCCAGTGGGAGTCATGAAAACAGACTGTAGGATGCATTTTTTTTTATAGCAAAGTCACTGTTACAAAAATCAGGAGAGAATTCACATCAAAAGTGGCACCTTCAGGACTAAGGTGTTACAATTTTTGTTTAAACTAGCATTTACTATTTCTGCAAAATGGCTAACAAATTTCCAACTGAGCATTTTTCTCTCTGCTACTTAGCAACATGTCAGTCAGGAGGCACCTGTATTTATATTAATCTAACTAATATTCCATTTCAGTGACTTGAATACCATTCTGGTGTGGAAAAACTGAATCATTAATATTTTAAAAACTAAGGGTCAAACATTTCAGACAAATTCTCAAACCTATGTAATGCTTTTCTACAGCAATTTCTCTACTTAACATGAAATTCTATGTGTACACACGTTGAACACCGAAGACTTCGAAAACAATGGACTACAATGTGTAATACTTATTAATTAAACAATTATTTCAATTCTACTAGGCAATGTGCAAACTTAAATAAAATATATAAAAGGTTTATTTATCTGTAAAGAATGGTGTGTGTGTATCTTGACTATAATTTAAAAAAAAAAAAAAATCATCTTACAGGTTTCTAAGAACCAAAAGCAGCCAAAATTTATCTTCAGTATTTAAAACCCTTGTAGTATGATTTAAATGTTCAGTGTATCAGCACCTAATACTGGTAATAATCATCTTTTCTGAAGCCTTGCTTTCGATCTTGGTCAAAGAACCGATTGTAGCCTGATCTGTCATAAGATGGTCTACCATAGGGTGATCTGTCATAAGATGGAGTGTTCAAAAGTGGTCTATCCAAGAGTGGTCTGTCCAAAAGAGGCCTGTCTAAGAGTGGTCTCTCCAACAGAGGCCTGTCATAACCTCGTCTCTCGTAACCTGGTCTATCAAAGTCTGCTCTACCAAAACTTTGTCTAGCAGCACCAGGTCTGTTAATAGGTTCATCAAAATCTTCCTCAAATCCATGATTATAATTCTGACTGAAACCTTGTGCAAAACCTTGGTTGGGACCATCCCTATGACCATAACCTGGAGCAAAGGGTTCCTCATCATAATCTTCATCATAACCCATCTCATATTTTGGCTGATTGAATGGAGGACGAGGCTGTTGATATGGCTGAAATCTTGGGTTGGCCTGACGGCGGGTATCAGCTGTTACAGTCTTCCATTCACCATATCCAGGGGTTTCAGCCTGTTCAGGGAAAAAGATTTCATTCCTTAAAACCTTATCAATAATACAGAAAAATCAAAATAACTAACAAAAAAAAAACAAAAAACTAATAAATGGCAAATTTTTATACCGTTAAATCTATTAATTTATCCTATTAATGTTAAACTTTTATATATGTCAAAACTGAACCAGATTTGCATTAAACCTGTAGATTAATACTAAAAGCTTCTGTGTAAAATATTATAACACTACAAAATCTTATAAATATTTGAAGGAGTCAGTTTAGCTGTGCACAAGTCACTTATAATTACTGGTAATTAGTTTTTAATATCCACTTATGTGCAGCATTATACCAGCAAGAGAGACAAAAGAGAATTTCCTAAGTGATGCATGTATGTATGTACACTCTTGTAAATACGTGAAAATGCACATACAGTGATTGGTAATTACAAGTGGGTAATCACTTCAGTGTAATAAACTTGAAAAACTTTCATTAATTTAACATACACAACACCATAATACTCAGGTTGTAAAAATCATGAATGGTTGGCCAAGCTGATGAATTCAATTTAAAATTTTCCTAAACTTCTCACCAACATACATAATCCTCAAGCAAATTGGTATTGATGGATTCATTGTAAAGTGTTAAATCACACTAATGCAATAATTACCCTTAGGTTTTGTTACGTCATGACACCGCAATACACAAGCATTTTGTACACCATAAATAGTTGGCCAAACTGATGAATTAAATTTACAATTTGTAATACAATACGTTTTTAAAGCCTCTCACCAACATATATAATCCTCAAGCAAACTTTTTCTTTGTGAAGCGTTAATCACACTAACGCAATAATAAACTTTAAATTATGTCACGTTATCATTTACACAACACCGCAATATGCAAGCACTGTGCAAATCATAAATGAGTGACCAAGTTGAATTAAATTTACAACTTGTAACACTTCCCTAAACCTCTCACCAGTATATATAATCCTCAAGCAAACTGCTAGTGTTGATTCTTTGTGATGCACTAAGTTTAACGAATGAAAAATTTATAAAACGTGCATCACTGGAATACATCACTAAAACAATAATATAAACAAATGTAAAAAGTACATATAAAGAAGTGATCCTGAAAGGTGTCAATGATCTTCAGCTGATATACAGGAGTACTTTTCAGTAGCTGTAGCTGTGAAAAAGATCACCGTTATAGCCTAAAATAATGTTACATCCACAAACGTTCATGGTCACAGTCTTAAAATACACCACTCTTAACAGTATGAAATGAAATTATACGTTTTGAAACTAAAGACTACACAAATTCTCTTCACTTTCATGTGAAATGCTCTGTGACATTCCAAACTGTGACAGTCTAACAGACAACTGTACAGCCTGAAATGAAACATTAACTAGCATTAAATGGAGCACTGTTAAGGCCTGAAGCGACACTTAACAGTCAATATTAATGATCATACAATCTCGCCTGTGTAACTGCAAAGTCGACTGTAATACAGAACAATAACAGTCCAAAACTGAAACTGTTTCAGTTAAGGAGACACGTATTAAGGAGCCTGACACAATGTGCTGTAGCATTCTAAAATAGATTTTTGTGTAATACTTACAAGTACGACAACAGCGAAATAAGGAAGTTCTTATATCCCTAAATAGATAACATTAAATGGAACACTGCTGCAGCCAGAAATGACTGTGGCAGCCCATGTGTGTATTACAATATAACAACCTTGTATCATTAGTTTGTTATAAAATGAAATTGGTGTAATATTCGTCTACAAAAACAAAACCTACTTCAGGATGTCATAACCCTAAACAGAACATAATAGTATGGAATACTGCCACAGCCAGAAATAACTGTGGCAGCCCATTCATGAAACTACTTAAGTTGAAAGAGAAATACCTACGTAAGCATTGTATTAGAACCTACTTTACAGTAAACTTTGACCAGCCAGTCAAAATAAAGCAGGTTCCAATCTGGGGTGACAGTGACAGTTTCCAATATGAGCAGTTACACCTATAAATACTTAACACCCTTTAATTTTATCATGGGAAATACAATGCTTTTCACGAGCTGGCAATCAAAAGCATGGCCAACGAGTATGTATATCTGAGCAAATAATTCTTTAAGAGGTAAAATAAAATATTTAGGCAAAACAAAGTAAATTTTCTGTTTACTGCACATCTTAGAAAAACAAAAAACTAACTTTAAAAAATATGCTGTATTGTACATGAATACCTTTATAAAGATTATAAGACAATCTTTGAAAATAAATGCAACAAGCATTAGCCTTTATTAGCATTTATCACATTAGCCTTTAGGCTTCCTATTCATAAATGAATGCATATTCATAATGAATGCATAATGCATATTCATAAATGAATTCATAAATAAGTGTGTTTTGCAATCTCTTTAAAATTACCCTTAATGTGAGGAATAAAATCTTAAATAATGATTTAGTTTAAAACCACTCTAAACTAAGCTAATTTTAGTGTTTGTTCACAAAAGTTTCTCACCAGACTTGCATATAACTAGTTTATTATTATTTCACAGTACTGCATTAAGTTAAAGACATATTAAAAGGAGACTTAGGCAAGTTCAAGTCACATTTTTTTTTTTGTATAATTTTTTTTATAAAGAATAAAGTCTTCTTAATATTAAAGTCATAACAGAGCTATCATTATTAGTTTATGTCATTAATGAAATGATGATTACCTTAAGTAATTACTTAATTCATTAGTACAAGATTTACAAAACACTTCCTTTGACTATTATTTATTCTAAAGTTTATATCTTAAACTACTAAAATGATCACTTAATTTGAATTCATCACTACTAGTACATTATCTTTAATGGAGAGCTGGTGTGGCAGTGAATCTGGTATACAATATATTTCCAAAATTAAATAGTACTGGCAATCTCATAGGGCATTATGCGAATATCCAAAGAAGATTTCCAAATAAGAGTAGAGTAATTAAAGCTTGAATTCTCAAGTTCCTCTAAAAAATGCCTAGCTAAAAAAAAAAAAAAAATCACATGAAAAGTTTTCATTGTTATTGAATCATAGTGGTACAAAAACCCATTGGGTACAAGGTAACAAAACCACTATATGAACTCAAGGATAAAGTATTTCAAACCATCTTGTCTTTACCATTTATTCGTCCTTCACCTTCTTCGGCAAGGCACCTTCATTGTCCATCAACGTCCTCTTATTATTATTTGTAGACTGCTGTTGAGTAGAGTGGATGGATTTCACTAATGTCCATGTGAGGCGAGATCCCAAATAAAAGGTTTGACTCCGTATGGAACAAAGTTCTTAGAAAGAGAATTATAGTACTGTAGACTCCTGTTAGTTATACTATTATAATATTACTGTACAATAATCAAAGTAAATCAAGGTGACCAAAACATCTATTTAGTTGGCAACACAGTAAAACCCCAGTAATATGTGGCAGTGTGTTCATGAAACAACAGGTATGCTTCACCAACACTAATAATAAGTGGTTCCAGTTTCACTTGTGTGCCTGTATAACCATACTTGTTGACAAGAGCTCTACCTAGTAGCCAGCCGTGCACCCCGACCAATGTGTACAACAACTTGTAATGTGCCACAGAATGTACTGTATATTGATCCAGAGCACAATACAGGTCCGCCATCACTAATCAGGCAATCAGTTACCTGGTTCCATCAGTAATCCAGCACTAATTTTGGTTAGCATAATTTCAAATTTCATCATTATACTGACTCAGAAATTGTCCAGATGGTTGTAAATCCACAGCAGCAAGCCAGTGGAGGAGAAAGCAGTGACGAAAATGAGGAAGATGTAGCAGAAAGTCTCTATTGATAGGTTAATTATGTGTATTCTAACCTAACAACTCTGTAATCCAGCAAATTCACTAATCCAACACACTACAGGCCCTAATGATGCCGGATTAGTGATGGCCGACCTGTACTCTAAAATACAAGAGTCAAAAACATTTTCCTAATTTTACAGCTTCCACATCTTGTCAACAACATTCCTAAGTTTTGCTTTATTCAGAAACACAAATGATCGACAGCAGCCTTTTCTTTTATTTTTTTTTTTCAACATGCTGACCCCCCCCCCCTCAAAAAAAAAAAAAAAAAAATTGCCATCACTCACACATATCACTGTTTTTAGAGCTGCACAGGTATAGCAGCTCAGATGTCACCCCAAACAACAAATATCCTAAATCCCTCCTTTAAAGTGTAGGCATTGTACTTCCCATCTCCAGGACTCAAGTCCAGCTAACTGGTTTCCCTGAATCCCTTCCCAAAATATTACCCTGCTCACACTCACCATGTCCCAAAACCATGCCTCTATTCACTCCTAACATGCTCACACATGCCTGCCCCTTGCACACACAACCTCTTTTACCCCCTCCATCCCTTCCCAAGATGACTCTACCCCTCCTTCCCTCCACTACAAACTTACACACCTCTCCAAGTCATCCTATTTTGCTCCATCCTCTCTAAATGACCAAACTTGAACCCCTTCTCGGCCCTCTGAAATACAGTAGAACCTTGGCACTTGAACTTAATTCATTCCAGAACGCTATTTGAGTGCCGATCTGTCCTAGTACCGATCAAATTTTTCCCAACCCATTTTCTTTTTGGCTGGCTGTTATCACTAACTCTCTTGGGCACCATGGTAACTTATTTTAATAAATATAAACACAAAAAATGCAAGGAAATGGGAAATAATTTCCAGTGAAGTTCCGGCAGGTTGTGTCTGCTTGGTCGAGCGCCGAGCAAACAGCCGACTACCAAACGATTTGTTTACCGAACAAAGCGTTCGAATGCCGAATTGTTCAAGTACGGAGCTGTTTAAGTACAGTGGTCCCTCGTTTTTCGTAGTTAATCCGTTTCTGGAGTTGCTACTATTATCGAAATCTACGATTTTCTAATAAATTTTCTCCATAAGAAATAATGTTAATGCAATTAATCCGTTCCTGACTCCCAGAAGTATTAAAACCAAAATATTTT